TTCTAGTTTCCCTTTAAACCCTCTCAGCTCTGCGGTGACACCCACTGCTCCCCAAGTCTCTGCCATCCCTTACTGAGCCCTGCGGGGTTTCCCTCATGTGATGGCCCCCTCCCCACCAACCCCATCAGAGGGGATCCATTTGTTCCGCTCGGCCTGCCTCCAACCCCAGGACGGGTGTGGGAGCTCCTCCCGGCCTGAGGTCCAGACTCCCTTGGGTCTACAGCTGCCCTGGGCAGCTGAACCAAATCCATGTGCCCATATCTGGGGCACGTCCACTGTCAGGCAGGACGCTGGGGAACCAGGATGTGGGCAGTGCAGAAGGTTCTGTCACTGAGAAGCCTGGGTGGTTGTGAAGTTGGGTGGGCTTGGATCCCACTTGGCCCCTGTTCCTTCTCCAGAGCCACTCTGCTGGCGCTTCTAGCAGTGGGACCCCCTTGTTGGACCACACCCTCTGATGATGGAGCTGGGGTCCCACCAAGGAACACCCAAAGGCCATCTTCTCTTTTCTTTCCCTGCAAGCTCGATGGTGGCCCTAATCATTAGCAACCCAAGTGGTTCCCCTTTCTATCACCAGTCCTTCGGTGGGAAGGGAAATACTCACCTCCCCCCGCAACCCAGACTGAATCTCAACGCAGTGAAGAAAAGGAAAAGAAACAGTTAAATTTCCATGTTAAAATGGGCCTACCCTTCATATCCCCCTAGATTTCCTCACTGGCCCCTTCTCTCCAGCCTCAACACATCCTAACCTGACCCAGCAACCACCCAGCACCAGCTCTGGCCCTTCCAGAGCATGTCCTCTGCCAGGGAAACCCCACTCCAGCCCTCAGATCAGGACTGAGCCTTGGTGACCTAGCAGAAGGAAAGACAATGGTGGTCTCTGTTCTCAAGGCAAGCTCATCCAATTTAAAGCCTTTTCTTTATCCTGAGCTGGTCTTTCCTATATGAGTGTATGTGTGTGTGTGGTAAAACGTCCTTTCTTTTATGAAATCACAGTAATAGTAAATAGTATTTTAAAAAAATCACTACTTGAGGGCTTCCCTGGTGGCGCAGTGGTTGAGAGTCCACCTGCCGATGCAGG